TGTCCTGTTTTTATGCATCACTTTACTTTCAGTTATAAGCTGAGGAGGGACTGCATCCTTGTTCGAGGTGTCCTGTTTTTATGCATCACTTCACTTTCAGTTATAAGCTGAGGAGGGACTGCATCCTTGTTCGAGGTGTCCTGTTTTTATGCATCACTTCACTTTCAGTTATAAGCTGAGGAGGGACTGCATCCTTATTCGAGGTGTTCTGTTTATGCATCACTTTACTTTCAGTTATAAGCTGAGGAGGGACTGCATCCTTGTTCGAGGTGTCCTGTTTTTATGCATCAGTTTACTTTCAGTTATAAGCTGAGGAGGGACTGCATCCTTGTTCGAGGTGTCCTGTTTTTATGCATCACTTCACTTTCAGTTATAAGCTGAGGAGGGACTGCATCCTTGTTCGAGGTGTCCTGTTTTTATGCATCACTTTACTTTCAGTTATAAGCTGAGGAGGGACTGCATCCTTGTTCGAGGTGTCCTGTTTTTATGCATCAGTTTACTTTCAGTTATAAGCTGAGGAGGGACTGCATCCTTGTTCGAGGTGTCCTGTTTTTATGCATCACTTCACTTTCAGTTATAAGCTGAGGAGGGACTGCATCCTTGTTCGAGGTGTCCTGTTTTTATGCATCACTTCACTTTCAGTTATAAGCTGAGGAGGGACTGCATCCTTGTTCGAGGTGTCCTGTTTTTATGCATCACTTTACTTTCAGTTATAAGCTGAGGAGGGACTGCATCCTTGTTCGAGGTGTCCTGTTTTTATGCATCAGTTTACTTTCAGTTATAAGCTGAGGAGGGACTGCATCCTTGTTCGAGGTGTCCTGTTTTTATGCATCACTTCACTTTCAGTTATAAGCTGAGGAGGGACTGCATCCTTGTTCGAGGTGTCCTGTTTTTATGCATCACTTTACTTTCAGTTATAAGCTGAGGAGGGACTGCATCCTTGTTCGAGGTGTCCTGTTTTTATGCATCACTTTACTTTCAGTTATAAGCTGAGGAGGGACTGCATCCTTGTTCGAGGTGTCCTGTTTTTATGCATCAGTTTACTTTCAGTTATAAGCTGAGGAGGGACTCCAACACTGGTCGAGGTCCGCCACTAGCTTTTTTGACGTTGTCGGTCGCGCCGATGTTAATTGCGCGACCAAAAACCAATAGTCTGGACACAATTTTATCTCGCTCGCGAATGTCAAAAAATATTCGCAGACTGAGTCTGGAATTAACGTATCTCGGTCAAAAAATTTAGTCGCGGTCGCAACGCTGTCGAAAAATTATTCGAAAACTTAATCAATAAAAAGGACCGAACTTCTACAAGACTCGCGGCACAATGAAAACTGAAAATAACCTCCCTGATTGGTCAATCACTGGTCTAACCAACTTGTTATAATTAAGAAACATGTCGCTGTGTAATGCATGTACATCCTTGGAACAGGCTAAGTCCGAATTCAAGAGAAAAATAAGCAAGAATTGTGAAACAATCATGATCAGAATCGAGTTATTTCTTAGTATCTCAAAAAGCTGTATCAGCAAAGCAAATCAAAAACTAAGTATGCTAGGTTTGAATTTTTGGTATTTGAAATAACTCAGCTTATTCGCCGAAAAACATAGTCAATAAATTATTTACGGAAGGAGGCAATAATGGCGGCGCTCTTTTTGTTTCAAACCTCATCAAGAACTTCCATTGCCGTCATCAGGCTTTAAAAAGAAAATGGTTTGTTCCGTCTTCCTCATATTTGGCTGATCAATTATTAATAAAACCTTTTATTGATCACGTTCAGCTGTTCACTTTCCAAAATTTAGGAACTACAAACAAAACTAACCGAACCACATAAATGTTTCCCAAAATCTTTAGAATCTTGGAACGGCTGAGTTTTGAAATCTAACTGAGGAAAGCGAATAAATTTGATGGAATTCTTTTGTTGTGCCGGCGATTTAGAAGGTCTTGCCACCGTTTTCAAAAACTCCATCGACTTTTTTATTCTGCAATATTGGTGTCAGTTCTCCCAGGATACAAACATTTTCTTGCGCTTCTGTGCCTCAAAAATATTCTGAAAGAATTCGTCCTGAAATGCCATTTTTGAGTTTTTATTAAGGTTAAATAGATTTTCTCATTTTTTGCTTGCTTCTTTTCAAATTTTGTGTACATTGAGGACAAAGGCGCTTTTTGATCAGTTATACCGTCGATCAGGCAACGATAGACGTCGTGTCGTACGTTAGGGATTTCTCGTGCGGTAAACTAGCTAAATTTCCCAAACGAATTAACTTTTCCCGAGATTTTATAATCTTTTTTTTAATTGAGTTGTTATCCTGTTTTTCTTTTTGTAGCTTCAGGAGGTCAATGTGAGACTTAGTTTAAAAAATGCATGCAGCCATGAGGGTCTCGAAGACTGCAGATGGTCTCGTTGATTACAATAGTTCAAAAGTTCCACTTGAAAATTATAGACGTAAAAAACGACCCTGAGTCGCAAAAAAATGAGCTTCGTTCAGCACAATAACTCACTCTGAATGTAGAGAAATGGACTATGCTAAGATAGGGTGAATAGTTTTTCATAGATCCTCTCTGTGAATCGCAGAAGCCAAACTTATGATTATCACAACTATTATTATGATTATTTCGATTCTGATTATAATTGTTATGAATATTATGATGAATACTACTATTATTATTATCATGATTACATGATGATTATTATTATTATTACTACTTTTAAGATTATTTTGATTATTATGATTTCTATTATTATTAATATTATTATGATTATTATGATTATTATTATTATGATTTTTATTATTACTATGATTATTATTATTATTATCCTTTTAATTATAATGCTTATTATTATCGTTCTGACGACTGAAAATGGGGAGGAACTTTGTATTCGTGTGTGTTTTAACTTTTTTCTTTCTGTTTTCTTGCAAAATCGTGTGCCTCAAATAATTATTGGACTCGGTTGAGTCATATATCATACTGAAGCCTTTTTAGTCGTAATTCGAACCCTTTTAAAAATTCTCGAAACTTTTTTTTGGTGTCTAGAAAAACCGGTTAGAAATTTTTGATTTTTTGTCAATTTTCGAGCGAGTACAGTGATCGAGTAACGTCTGTTATAGATGAAAGTTAAAACTTTAGGCTGAAAAAGTAGACTTTACCGAAAAGAAGCTTCAGTTAACTCTTCTCTGGCAAAAAAATAATAAATTTCAAAAACATTTCAAATTTTTAGTGCAAAAAAGTGAAGAAAAAAAAATCGCAAAATTTTAAAATTTTTCAATTTGTTTTTTGAAGCCAAGTGGATTTATTTATGCCTAATTCGCTGATTTTCTATGCGTTCGTATAGTTGTATTATCACATGACGTACAAAAAGTTTACTAACTTGCACAAAAAGGAGTTCTTTTCTTAAAAATGTGGTCGGAACATTCTGTGCTACTTGCACAGCAACCGGCTATCCTTGTTAATATTATTCTTAATTGTTCACCGAGAAGTTCAAAAGAGAAGTGAAAATTAGTTAAAATAATGATTTCCATCTTATTAACTCAATGGAGGCGCAATTTACCTGTCTAATGGAGCTCCATTTTAAGAATTTAAACGATAGTGCAAACAATTCAGTTTATTGGTTTGCATGCTAAGAAGGAACGCAGATCTGCTGCTACTGCGTTTTGTGAATATGCAATCAATTTTCATATTCATGATATAGATCATTGGCGCCCAGGAATTTTTTTAAAATTTGATTCACTTGTTTTTTCTATTAATCATTGCACCCATCTTTTACGAGGAAGGAAAGCTGTTCCAAATGTCCTTTTAAGTAACCCAATGGGCTCACGTATAAGCGAGTATTTGTATCGTGACAGGAATTTAAGCAAATTCTTTTCTAAGGGGGAGGAGAGTCCTCACGTAAAGCAAAAAAAATAGAATGAGTGTCCTTGATTTTTTGAAAAACCCATATCCGTAAACGACAAAAACTTTTCTACCCACATAGTAGAAGACCACTACTTAGGATCTTGCTAAACTTAGCTCAAAAGCAAAGAACATGATACATAAATCCTTCTAATTTCAAATTTTGTGGTCCTAATTATTTTTCCTGGTTATACATATTATTCAAACTAATTGGCACTATTTGTTCAAGCAAATGAACTTCCGACCTGCAAGAGGTTTTTTGGTGAAGTTGGAATGAAATTAAATGATATATAATAAGAATTGACCGGAAATTTTGGCAGCGCAGCTTAACTGTTGGCAGCAATACACTATGACTTCAGTTTTTGCTAAGCTTCAAAGTGAAAATTAAATAATTTGAAAACAATCTTCACGGTTGGCGGCCGTTTCTGGGCAAAGGCATAGTCAATGATGAGTTTGTAAATTTTGAGAAAAGAAATTGAAATTGGTGGGAACTTAGTGTCTAAAAATATAAATAATTCCAAACGGAAAAAAAAATGAAACTTACGCTGCGGAAACATTTCAAATTCAAACTCGGCGGGGAAAGCTACGTCGTGTTTCTCAAGAGGGCAATGGAAATGCCAAAGAAAAATACCAGTTAAGTCCTAAACTAATTTTTTTTCGTGTGAGTTCCAATTAATTGCTTGGTGCGGTTTTGCAAAAAAGTATGGCACTGTGAGCGATGTAATAATTGCCAATTATGAAAACCATTGGTTTGATTTCAACTCAAAATTAGCCAATAGAGAAGTAGAATGAAAATTTTTTCTATGTTTTAACAAAGGATCAAGGTACAAAAACTTCCGGTGGTTAACCTAATTAATCACCATCGATATGTTGATGAGACTAAATTGTACCTGCAAGTTTACTTAATTTTTCACTAGCTTGATGAAGATCTGCAGGTTAGCGAGGTATTGGAAAAATAAATAATGAAAATGTTAGAAACGGCGAGTAACACCAACTCAACTTTAATTATTTTAAGCAATTTATGCGTCTGTAAAAGAATTTATTTTGACTATTCTAACGGACGACTCTATTCTCTGCCTGTATAATTACTGTTTTTCTTTTTAGTTCTTCTACTAACCTTAATTACGACGTTTGGAACCACTCCCAGAACTAGCAATTTCTCGTTAGTTTGCACAAAGCGGCTGGGTTAATATTTGAGCTAGGTTCACCAAAAGGGTCCCACGTTATGTTACGCGCTGACCTGGAATTGTAACAACAGCTTATTTGGACTTTTGAGAATAGTGGAATAACTAAGCGAGAGATCGTTTGTGATTAACATGCAAGGATTCCGTTACAAGGAAAACACTTTTGTAGTTGAAATAAAAGCAGTCTAAACTTCAAATTATAGCAACACTTTTCTACTAGTGAATTTCGATATGCTACCATAGCTCAAGCTAAATTTTACTACTTGATTTGAAAATTTACAAACCGTCTGTTTTGGGAAAACACTGATTAGCTTCACAAAAAAAAGGCCACAATTAATCTTGATCATAGAAATCCTGGCGTCCTTTTTTACGCAAAACGAAATGAAAAAATAGATTTTTTTAAAGTATTTGAATCAAAAATTGAATAATAAAAATTCCGATTTGTGTCTGGTTTAAAACCAATACTTCAAAAATTACACCAATTGCGAAAAACTTTAGCCCAATTACTCATGAATCAAGATGCACTGAAGAAAAAAGTTTTTTTTTGCTTGAAAAACTAACAATTATTTCACTAAAATCAACACTCTGTGAAGGAATTTCAATAAAAATTTTATCATCTTTTTTTTTACTTTTAGTTCTAATTAACTTAACTATTGAAATGATTATAATGAATACTATAAAGTTTAGATTGATTTGTTTGATGATTTTTACGATTACAATACATTTATGATGCTTGTTATGATGGTTATTACGATTGTAATTATGATTATTAAGAATATTGTTCCGATCATTGAAATTGATTGTTTTTTCTTTTTTTTCCACAAAAAGTTAGGTAGCACAATTAATTATTGGTTGAACAATGTTGAATTGTTACATTCGCCCAGACATTACACAGTAATGGAGCGTAAAAAAGTACCTATTGACGACGGGTTGACGTCAGTATATTTATTCCTACTCGTTTTTAACCGTCTGGACCTAGCCAGTTGCTTTTCTGGTCTGTCTAAGAGCTAAGAATGTGCTAGCATTTTAAGGGCATCAGCCAAACGACTTTTGATCAGCTTTCGTTTACATGCGAAAACAACCACATAGCTTGGTCGCGGATCATCAGACTACGTGTTTAATGTTAGAAACACGGCTAGAAAACCACAATTAAATGTGTTTTTACTGACAGTTATAAACTAAATATTCAAAAAATGGATCGACTCTTTCCTCGACTCTAACTGCTTATGCTCTGGTATACTAAAAAAATTGGATTAAATTAAATAGGTTCAGGGCATTACAGCAGCTAAGGTATATAGTTAATGTCTCTTATAGTCCTCGTTATCTCTCTGATTTCGTGGCATGATAGGGTTCGAATCCGTCCCGAATTTCCCCTCTATACAACCTTCTTTCGACATGCACCTTATCGTGTCTTGTTGTCACGATAAGAGGCTTCGTTTTCTCTTTTATTTACCTACCTTGCAATTCGGTTGTAACCCGGTTGTTGTGTTTTTCCTTCTAATTTTTTGTCAAAATAATCGTTTTCGCATTTCTCAGAAATGTTCTAGCCCAAATATAAGTTTCAAGAACATTCTGAACCTCTTTTTCATCATAATTCCAGTACAAACGCTTTTAAATGTGTCTCGTGCATGCGTCGGAAGTTTCGACTGTGCCAACCCCGGGGACTGGGCATATACTCCGTTCCCAAACAATATCGTCAATTGCTTGTGTTGTTTCTCTAGGGTCTTCACGCAATCCAGACCTCCATAGATGTGACCTTCCAGTCCACAGACTTCTGTCAGACAGCTACCACGTTTGAACCAGTCCTCTGGTTCCCAGCCAGGCAACTCTACTTTCTTTGTCTTCTCCGTTGCTCCTAGAGACTGTCGTCATCAAATTATAGATGATGCTCAGGTCACGCAAATTACAATCTGAGTTCAGTTCCCTCTGCACGTCTTGTGTCGCACGCAATATCGAATTGGCGTTAGGAATCGGACACCATGATGGTTTCATTAGTTCCCACACCACCATCAAACTCGTTTTGAGCAATTCGTCCGAAATCCCAATCCAAACTCCACTCGGTTGTCAAATTTTGGCACTGAAGTTGCGGTCACCCTTTCCTCTAAGACTAGTCCCAGCTTGGTCTGCTCATTAGTCGCGCTTGTTATCGTTGCAATTCTTGACATCCAAGTAGTATAGATATACGACACTGGGATCGGGGGGGGGGGGGGGGGTGATCCCTACAGGGATCGTTGGGTATAGATTATACCTAATGATCCCTATGTAAATATTTATACCTAATGATCCCTATGTAAATATTTATACATAATGATCCCTATGTAAAATAATTATACCTAATGATTCCTATGTAAAATATTTATACCTAATGATCCCTATGTAAAATATTTATACCTAATGATCCCAATGTATAATTTTTATACTTAATGATCCCTATGTAAAACTTCGGTAAATTATTGAGTATTCCCACTGAACGTTGTGGAAACGGGAATGGAATTAAGTTTTGGTCGGTGCATGTTTTCCCTTCTAAAGTTTGGGGGTATTGGCTTGTTTACATGTAAAAGGACGTTATATACCTATTATATGTAATAAGAAAGCACCAGATTTTGGCAGCGTAGCTTAACTGTTGGCTGCGGTGAACGATTTCCTTCAAAAATGCATGTTTTATTGCTGAATCTCGAAGAAAGGAAAATTCGTCAATTGCGGCGGCCGCCACCTCTATTTAGACAAAAGCTAATGATCAATTTGACCGAAATAAGAATGAAATATTTCTTTAAACCAAATGAAAGTAAAAAACAAAGAAAAATTATGGAACACTGAAAACTCTAAAATAATGAAATTGGCTTGAAAATTTCGACATTTCCATTTTCCGTGTCTACAGGAGACTGAAAAATAAACGTCTGAAATCTATGACAAAAGCTTTGATTTTATAGAAAGGTTGAAGGAGCTAATAAGTTGAAGTGGGTTAAGATCTTGAAGAACGAGAACACTGATGAAAGCCAAAAGTGCCCAGAAATATTGTCAAAACTTGTACCTAACTTGTTATTATAAAATTGAAGTGGAACAAAATTTCTTGGGGTCCGAGTAGAGGAAAACGCATGGCGCTCGACTCTCAGCCGAAAGGCACGTTTCGAAACCCGTCCGGAAATTGTACTGAAAGGAGGCAACAGTTGCTGGTATGGTGATATCCCCCCATAGATCGATTTTGTATTTTTTATAGTAATCTAACTTCTCGAATTACTGCTATTCAGTTAAAAATTGGGTAAAAATGTCAATTACTAAAAAATGTAGAGTTTAAAATGAAATTGAAAAGTGTACAAAACAGACATATTAAATAGTTAGTTAATGGGTAAGCATGTGAGTTAGGAAACGTTTCAAAATATGATCATTTATGTAAGCAAAATCAGAAGCATCACCATTAAAGTTTTTATCATAAATCAAATGTGCAATATAAATGCAAAAAGAACCGAACATGGTAGAGTTTGAGTCTTGTATGGGAAAGTTTGTCATCAATTCAGTCACCTGATGAAAATTCTCGTTCAATCGTTTATACAGATTGGTGTACTGCCAAAGAGGAAGACCGAGAGTATCAGCAAAACACAAAACATTTCTTCTGTTGCAAATTACTATCCAATGTGTCCCCGGAGAATCTGATTTTGAAGTGTTCACAATCATAAAGATATTGTTTGGGATGTGAGGTGGAAAATTGTCCGCTGCAAATACTCCAAGAAACTTATATTTCAGATGTTTACAGTTCTGAATGAGATCCTGCAACTGGATTTCATCCATTTTTAGACGGTCGAAATTGGAAGGACGTTCTTTGTAACTTTGCGGTCGGAGGTAATAAATACATTGGATGAGCGTATACCCCAAACAAAAATTTCAAGGTTTGCTGTCAACGCGTTTGAGAATTGAAGATCGAGTGAAACTGAGCAGTTAGTAAGTTCTGGATGCAAGAAGTCATGAGCTGCCTGCTGTGTGCTAGTGAGATCAAAACACATAATAAAGTGCTGTTGGTAGTTATCCAGAGTGATTCCCAGCCCGCAGTGCAACAAACCTAGCGCTGATAGTGTGTTGAAGAAGAGACGTTTATGATCTTGTGTACTGATTGGTGTACATGCTATTGGTAAACCGTTCCGTCTCAAGGTAACTTGGTCCAATCCAAACTTTTGATAATGAAAAGGATTTGTTCGGTTTGTTCCTAGAAATGCATTATTTGTGTTCAATGCTATTATAATTTGTCTCACCGGTTCACGAGCAAAAATGTCTTCCTGTTGCCAGCTGCGCTGACCAGCTGTTGCAAGAAATGTTTTTGTAAATTCTTCTTGAAATGGGTAGTTCGCAGGAGTTTTGAGCAAAGTTGATTCAATGGCAGAGAGCACATGGTCGGTCACAGTTATTTTTCTAACATATAGGTTCGCTTCGAGTATTTGCAGCTTGTAATGCTTGGCAGCATCTTCAGAAATAATGAGAAAGTCTTCATGAGAACGTCTGTAGGAAAGTCTGAGGGTAACACCGCTCAACACATGTGAAAAAATTAACTCCAGCGGGTCCATAGGACCAAATTTCCCTCGATTCACGGACCAATTCTCGTTGAGATGTGAAATCAGCTGCATCTATTGCAGCGGGATTGTTTTCAAAACGATATCCCTGACACTTAAGCCATGAATCCTTGGCTCCTTTGCTGTTAGAAAATTCTGTTCCAATAAAGCTTTTATGGGCAAAATTACTATTGGCATTTGAGATTTTGAGTCCATTAGCAGAGAGGGTACAGTCAGAGAAAAAGGAATACAGGGAGTTGTTTACGAGGAACGGTGAATCAGACACAGTAGGATCAGTGTTGTCGTATCGCAGATCAGCCCCATTTGATTGCGTTACTTTGCATCGTATTTCCAAATAATTTTTTTGCAGGTCAACAAAAATATTACGGTCACCGGTGATTTCAAATTCAAGCATTGGTCCATTAGGTGAATAGACAGGTCCAATTTTTTGATCAAAAGCGTTTTCAAAAGTAATCAAAAGAGGTTTTTTTCAAACAAATCCAGAGAGCTATGGGTAGCTTCATTGGGTAACAAATTAGCGATCATTTTTTATGTTTGAGAAAATATCTGCTC